CCAGAATTCCCCAGCCAGCGAATGCTGGCTGGGGAATTCTGGGAGTTGAAGTCCAGACATCTTCAAGTTGCCAAGGTTGAAAAACACTGCCTTAGAAGGCTCTGCGGCTCTTCAAAGGGCCGAAAGCAGCTGGGAAGCACTTTCGCTTTCCAGAACCAAGTCTGCAGTGCCCCCCCTCCCTCCCCCTAGAGAAAGTAAAAGCGGCGCCAGAAGGCAGCCGGCGGTCAAAAGTGGGGGCGGCTGCTCTCTGCTGGTGTCGGGTGACAGGCAGGAGAAGCTGCCCGGGGACCAAGGCTGGAGCAGAGGCGCTCTTGGCGCTGCCAGCAGGCCCCGTCCTCTGCGGTTGAGTAGCCAGCAATATTTTAGGGACTTTCCAGCGGGTGTCACTCTGCAGGCTTCCACCAGGGACTTTCCAAGCTGGAAGCTCTTGACATTCAAAGCACGCAGCCCAGCTGCAGCCACAGCCAAGACAGGCGCCTAACTGGGGTCTCTAGTCCTTGCTTCTCCATGGGGAGAAGGGGCTGGAGAAGGGGTTTTGCCCATCCACAGAGCTCCACTGGGCCACATGGCTCATGGCAGAGGGGGGGAGATGAGGAGCTTCTTCAGGGAGAGGAGGTGGGCTTCAGTCTTTGGCCACAAACTCACCCCCGGACCCTTCCATCTCCCCTGCCCAGAGCAATTTAGAGCCAGAGCACTGGGGGGAGGGAAGCTTCTGGACATGGGGGGGAGGGGGAAGGACAAGCAGCAAATTCGCATGGAAGACTCACTCTGGCCCCAGACAGCCCAGACCAGGCAAGGGAAGCCTCGGGGTGCCCCAAGTTCCCATGGAGCAGGGGATGGTGCCCCAGTAGGCTCTGGCCCTCCGACCAAAGCCCCTTCTCCTTCCAGATAAGGAAGGGCCGATTCCCCAGCCTTCCCCACCGAGCCCCCTGCTCAGAGGAGGCTTCCTCCTGGGGTCTTTACCTCATATTCTTTGATGGTGCCTCTCCACGTGCAACCTTGGTGGGGACAGATGGCCGGCAGGCTCTCCACTTCCCGCCGAGCTGCGTTATCTGGGAAAGCCTCAAAGGGGCAAAAAAGGGAAGGGTTAAGCACGGAGATGCCAAGGAAGGCCCACGGGAGCGGCTGCTGATTCTGTCACAATCCGTGCCCAAGCCAGCCCAACTGGGAAGTTTTGCTGGGAGAGGGCAAGGCGTGGGCACTCAATCCAACTGAAACCATTCCTGATCGGGATGGAGGAAGCAGCCGCCGCTCTTCACGCCTGTCCCAGTTCCTGGGAGGCTGTGACCGCAGCCCCTTGGAATGCCAAGAATTTGCACAGAGGTGCCTCAAAGGGAAGCCTCCGGAAGAGAGAGGGAGGGAGGGAGGGACGGGGAACATCCCTTCGCCTTCACTTCAAAGGCCCCCCATCTGACTCAGCCGCCCGTCCACCCTGAGCTTCCTGGAAGAACAGCTGGACAAAACTCCCCTCCAGGGGGGCTGCACTTACCACCCCTGCTTCCAAGATGGAGGCGCCTTCTTCATACAACCCCTCTTGAAGGCAGGCTGCACACTTCTGGGGCCCTGAGCTGGCGGGGAAGAGGAGGGCCGTGAGAACAACCCCGAGACCCTCCCAGGTCAACCAGGTAGACCTTTCCCCAGCAAGACCAGCCACCTCGGCTAGGAACGGGGCTGCATTTTGCCCTGACATCATTCAGGGGGTCTCTGAGTATGTGTCCTTGGCCTTCCTTGGCTCCAATTGATGGCACAGCTGTTGGCCACCCCCACAAGGGAGAACTGCTTCCAGGTGGGAATTGCTTATAGCCCGGAAGAACCCTGACTGATCCTGAGATGTGCAGCTGATGCCCTCCATATCACAAACCCTGAAGCCATAGGAATAATCCCCAATTACACCTGCCTATCCCAGGTACAATTAACGCTCTCCTTGCTGCCAAGGCTGGCTTCCTTCCTTCCTTCCTTCCTGGCAGAGGGATGGAGGTGGAGAGTTAATGACAAAGGCATAGCAGTTTCTTTTTGGGGTGAGAATTTGGTTCGGACCTAAGCAGGCGAAACTGCAGGTGGGGCGATCCTGAGAGATCTTTCCCACCGTGGAAAGCATCAAGAGCCAAAGCCGGCTGAGCTGTCAGCCACGGGAGGACTCCGTTCCCCTGGGGCTCTTGGCAAGGGGTGAGGCGTTTGGGGAGAGGGTGGCCTCTGCCAGCATACAGTCAGTCCTTTGGGGGGGGAGCGCTTGAGACCCAGCACGCTTCCTCCCCCCGCAAAGGGTGTGTGAGGGAGGAGGTTCAAGCAAAGCAAGGCAAAGAGACCTGAGGATTTTCTTCAAGCAAAAGGAGCAGTAGCGATGGCCACACTGGGCTTGGAATGGCCGCCGCAAAATGTTCCGGCACTCTGAACACAGGTACTTGACCACCAGCTCAGTGCCCAGAATCTCCTTGGGGAAGCCCGGCTGGTTCACCTCCAAAGAGCCCGGAGGGGTTGCACTGGCCGATGCCATGTGAACCAGCCGCTGTGCCTGGCTTTCACAACCCTGGAAGGAAGGAAGAACAAGGCCACAGTTCAGCTCCACCTTAAAACCAGCTTCCTGATCCCCAACTGACCCCCTGGTGGGGGGGCAGCCCTGCTCCCAGCGGCTCAGCCATCTGTAGGCTGCCACCCATCATCCATGGCAGCTTCTCAGTCAGTCCCCAGGCTGGGCATAGAGAGGTGGACGATTGCAGCAGCTCCAAGGGCATCCTCCCCCCCTTAGAGCTCTTGCCTCGTTCTGTGGCCCCCAGGACCCTCCCTCAAAGCAGGCCGCGTCTCCTCTCCGGCCCCAGGGCGCCCCTTCCCAGCCCCCGAGGCCCCCAGTTCCTCTCCTCTCCAACCCTCCGCCTCCGGGGGCTGCATCGGCCGCTTCCGCACCGGCCGGACTGCTTTCCTCGGCCTGGCTGGAGCTTCGCTGGCCTTCCCTCCGCCTCAAGCCCCGCAAGGCACTCTTTTGGCAGGGAACCCAGCGGGGCGAAGCGGAGCCTCCGCTGCGCTGTCCGGGGCCGCCCCGGCAGAGGCTCAAAGGCTCCGGGAGAGCCGCCCTCCCACCTACCTACAGCCGGAGTCCGGAGCGCCTTCACCGCCCCAAGGCCCCGAAGGGAGCCGCAGCCACCGGAGGGCCGGGGCAGCGCATCTGGGGGGGCCCGTCGGGGAACCGTCCGGCTGGGCGGAGGGGCTCCCCGGCTTCTCGGTCCCCGCCGACGCCGCCCCGGATCCGCAGCGGGCATCACCCCGGCCAGCCCTCCCCCGCCCGCGGCTCCTTCGGCCGGGCCAGGCAGGGGGAGGAGCCGCCTCTGGAAAGCCCCTGGAAGCCGCCGAGGGGCCGGAGCCACGTGCCGCCCGCGGAGCCCGCCTGACGCCCCCCGCCCTTCCCGGGCCCCTGCGGGGGAAGCCCGGCGTGCCTGCCGTCAGTGCCCGGGGAACCCCCCGCACCCCCGCGGAGAGACCCGCTCTGCGACCGCGGCGCTCGCCCCCCCCCCGCTCACCCGCAGCGGCGCCCGGCCACCCAAACACCGACCGGAAGTTCCCTAAGCTCCGCCCATTTGCCTTCGTCCGGGCGCCTCCGAAGTCCCGCCCCCGGGCTCCGCCCTCCGATGCTATTGGCGCGGGGGCGTGGCCCCGGCGGAGTTGCCCGGCGATCGGGAAGGGCGCTCCTGAGGTAACTCCGCGTCCCTCGCCGAGGGTGCTGCCGGTGGCGGCGGCTCACGCCTCGGGGCCGGGATCGGATGCCTCCGACCGGAACGCTTCCATGTCGCCTCGGTTCCCCAGAGCGGAGCGGCCCTTCCCTGCCCAGAGGAAGCTTCGTTGTTCGCGACGGTTCATCCGCCTTTCGGGGGGCTGCAGCTTAAATCGCGGCTGAGAGAAAAGAGTTGAGTCGCTGAGGTACCCTAACCCCAATCCTCATGGTACGCCGTCCTGGGCCGATCCCTGCAGGGAGGGAGGGCAGAGACGGTCCGGCGGTGACAGGCGGCGCGTCATTCCGAAGAAGCGAAGTTTCCCTGGAAAATTGGATTCTTGCCTAAGACATTGACCGGCCGGCCAGGCGCCTTCTGCGCATGCTCCTGAGAAAGAGTCTGACGGCTGTCATCGCTTTCCGATTATTGCACCTTCTTCTGAAGAGGAGGGGGACCGCCTCTTGTCATTCCAGCCAATCGTACGACAACATCATGAACGGCTTGATGTACGACCTATTACGAAGGGGTTTCTGGGAGAATTCCCAGGGACGGTCTTGCAGAAAACTCCCTTCTCTCAGCCAATCCTAGGACGGAGAGCCTTGATCGACAAAAGAGCTGATCTATTAAAGGACTCGAAAGCAGACGGTGTGGAGGCGTGACAGTTATTGTGACGTCGTGAGCCCCCATCGAAGGGGAGGAGTCTTACTCCTCAGCCAATCTCGTTGAGATTTCGGCCTCGAGTGGCGACAGGACGGCCCAATGAGGGCGCCGCGCGCTCCGCCCTCGCGAGGGAAAAACGGGATGAGGGAGGGAACGGGGAGAGGGACGGCCTATTGCGGAGGTTGAGCAGCGAAGAGGCGGCGGCAGAAGCGCAGGCAGGAACCAGAGACGCCATGGCGGAGAGCGACTGGGACACGGTGACGGTGCTGCGCAAGAAGGGGCCCAGCGCGGCTCAAGCCAAATCGAAGCAGGTGAGGCTAGGCAGGAGTGCGCCTGCGCACCTTCTTCACTCCCCGCCCAGCTCCCGGTGGGAGGAGTGCCTGCGTAGAGCCCACGTCTATCTATCGGGAGCCACGCCCACCCAGCCCTTCTTTCCAGGGGCTCCGGTCGCGGCGTCTCCCGGGCCTTCCTCTCCACCATGGTGGGGCTGCTTCCGGCTCGTGGTCGGCGGTGAAGACCCCGCCGGCCCGGAACGGGATCCGCGGAGGGGCCGCGTCTCGCCTTTCCCTTGTTCCGGGCCGGAGAGGCCGCAGGGCGCCCCCTGCCGGCCAAGAGAGAAGGGCCCCTGCGGGCTGGGGGCTCGGCTGGCCCGCAGCTTTCCCGGAGGCGCCCGGCGGAGGAGAAGGCGGGGTCGCCTCCTTCCACGGGCCGGTAACGCTCCCGTTGCTCTCCAGGCTGTGCTGACGGCGCAGAGGAAAGGTGAAGACGTGGAGACCTCCAAAAAGTGTAGGTGTGGCCGGCGGGCGAGCGGGCCCAGGGCGCCCTCTTGAACCAGGCCGCTCCGGCTCCTTCCCGGGCGGGGGGCGGGCGGCCGGAGCCCCTCCGAGGCAAGGCCCCTTCCCCAACCGCCGCCGCCGCCGCTCCTTCCCCCGCAGGGGCCGCAGGGCAGAACAAGCAGCACTCGATCACCAAGAACACGGCCAAGCTGGACCGCGAGACCGAGGAGCTGCACCACGACCGGGTCCCGCTGGAGGTGGGCAAGGTCATCCAGCAGGGCCGGCAGAACAACGGCCTGACCCAGAAGGACCTGGCCACGGTAAGCAGCCGGCGGGGCGGAAGGGCCGGGGCCGGGTGAAGCCCCGTCCCCACCAGTCCCTCCTGCTCCATGCAGCTGCCTGGCTCTCCCCCTGCAGAAAATCAACGAGAAGCCCCAGGTCATCGCAGACTATGAGTCCGGAAAGGCCATCCCCAACAACCAGGTGCTGGGCAAGATCGAGAGGGCCATCGGTGAGTGCCAGACCCACAACACACCACCCGCCTCTGTGGGGCTGAGCTGCGCCCAGCTTCATGCCCCGCTTGGCATCAGCACACCGGGTCACATATGACGGTGCAGGAGCTCCCCAAGGCCTCCCCTGTGATGGCAGCAGCAGCAGGTGCTTTCACAGCCGGCCAAGATCCTCCCTAGGCTGCCCCAATGCCTGTCCCCGACTGAGTCTCTTCCTGCCCCTTTGCTCTTTTGCAGGCCTTAAGCTGCGAGGGCGGGACATCGGCCGGCCCCTCGAAAAGGCCCCCAAAGGGAAGTGATGACAAAGCCTCGAAATCAGTTTGCCCCGACTGATCTCGCCCGGCCGTGGGCTCCTCTGGTGTGGCCAGGGTCTCTCTGCCGGCCTGAAACCTCCAAAATCTCAACCCCGTTGTGAATCAACGCACCTCTCACAGCCGACATTCCTGCCTTCCTTTTTAAAAGTATCCAAATCCTAATAAAAGCATCTGAATCTGCCAGGGGCACGAAATAAAAGTTGTCGTCGTCGTCTTTGGGGAAGATCCGAAGCACCCGGGGCCTTTTTGGAGGGGGAGGAGTGCCAAGAAGCAAGGCTGGCTCTCCTGGCTCGGTTTCAGGGGGAGGGGGCCATGACGGTGGAGAGCGGTCAGGGTTGCTTCGGGGGCCCTTCGCAGCAGCTGCTTTCATCTAGACTTTCAACCACCTGCATTTGTGTTTCATTTGGAGATGTTTCTCCAACTGATAGTTTTGGGGGGAAAGTCCAGGCCTTCTCTCTCTCTCTCGCTCTCACACACACACACACACCCGACAGTCGCCCACCAGGCTCTTTCCAGCAGAGAGAGGGAAGGAAGTACCTTATTTGGGGGTGCTGATTGAGGTTTTGGGGGGAGGGGGGCTGTTTGTGGCCCTTGAAGGCAGGACCACCTGAGTAAGGAGTCCTTGGAATCCCAGTGGGTTCACACAAGAGATTCAACCCCAGTGTTCCTGTGTCTGGCACTCCTATTGGGAGTGGGTTCGTTTTAATTTCCTTGGGGGGGGGGGGGTGAAATGCTTTCTGAGCAGCCACAGGTGGGACGTTCCGACCTTGGTGTCTGCCTATCTCTGGTCAAGAAGAGAGACTGACTCAAGCCGTGTCTCAAGGATGCCCCCTTTATTGCAGTCGCTGCGGGTGTCCCTCCGGAGCCAGAGGCTGATGCAGGGAAGGCAGGGGCCGGCCTAGGACGTTGCTGGGTCAGGAGCCATCTGGGTCAGGATGATTCTGTCCTGGAAGCCAAGGGCAGCAGAGATGGGCTGGCCTTAGCTGGCAGCCAAGACCCTGAGGAGAAGCCGCACAGACTGCCTCCCTCGAGGGAGGAGACGGTCTGCTTGGAGGGTCAAAAGGAAGCTCCCACCCAGCCACCCATCCCAGTTCAAGGTAGCCTGGCTGGAGAGCAGAGGGCCACATCCCCCCCCCCCCCAGCCCTTACATCTCGAAATGTGATGTTGTCAAAACTGGGCCCGTTGCCGTCTTCCTCCTCCATCCTTTCCCCACTGCCCTTCCTCTTCCACAGGCAATAGGCGGCCGCGATCAGCAGCAACAGGACGGTCACCCCACCAGCCACCCCAGCGATGGTCGACACTGGGAGAGAGCTGCTGCTGCTGCTGCTGCTCTCTGCCAAGGTGAAAAGGAACAGTGAGAGCTGAGGGTGGCCCCCGCAGGGATCGCCCCGCAGCTGTGACTTTGCAGAGGACCTGACCTTCCGCTGGGCCTGCCTGGGGAGAGGCACAGTCCGGCCCAGCTGTGTAGTGGAGATCGTCCAGCGCAATCACCCCTGAGCTTTCCCAGGCTCCGCTGCTGGCCTCCAGGACGATCTGAAGGGAAGAGAGCTGCGCTGGGCTCAGAAGGACACGACCCGCAAGAGGCAGGGAAGAGGCAGGGCTGGGATTCATGGAGGGCCCAAGAGACCCATCCAAAGACTGCATGCAACGTCGCGATATGGGGTGCGGTGAGGCCCCTAATTCAGAAGAGGCAGTGCGAGGGGTGTGGCAAGGGGAGGCAGATGCCTGGGGCTCAAAGGCCGGGTGCCAAGACCTCTTCCTTCGGGGCCAGGCTGAATCCAGGCTACCTGGAACTCCACGGGGCTGGTCACCAGGAGCGTTCTGTTCATCCAGGTCCGGCTCTGATGGCCTCTGGCGCTCCAGATGACCCTTTCTCCCTGCGCCCCAGTCAGCCTCACTCTGAGCTCTGCAGGAGCTGGCAATGCAAGGGGGGGAGGTCAGCATGGAGACCCTCTCTCTGCCCTCTGCCTCAGAGCACCAGACTCCTCCCTCTCCCACCAGACTCCTCCGCCTGACTTACAGCTGTGGCCAAGGAAGTCCATGTGGTAGTGGAAGCTCAGGCAGGAGCCCGTGGTGGGTGCCAGGGGCTCGCTCGCCAGGCGTGCAGCGGTCTTCCCCAAGCTCAGCACTGCCAGGTCAACGTAGGCATAGTGACCTACAAAGGAAAAGGTGAACAGCAGGAAGGAAATGTGGGCCAGGCCTCCTCCTGCAGAGTTACGGCTCTTCTGGGGGAATTTAAGCCACTTAAATTTCCCTTCAGTTTCCTTGTGTCAGGATTATTGAATAACTCCTGAAATAAGGAGGATTGTCAGAGCCCAAAACTTAGGCAAGCTTGATCAATTCCCATCAAACTGGAGCCCCCCCCCCAACTCCTCCTCCTCCTTGCAGCCCCTTTGCTGGCTCAGCAGACGCCCCTCTCGTGGGAGCCCAGGGACTGAGTGCTGACCTGCCCTGGTGCCGAGGGTGTGGTCTTCCTCGGGAGATGGGGAGCGCAACGGCGTGGCTGCTTCCTTCCAGTCCCAGCTGTAGCCGTCTCCGTGAGGCTTGCTCCAGCCACAGGGACCTGACTCAAAGTCACAAGAGCCTGGGCCGAAAGGACCCCACGGTTACCTTGGACCTTGGCTCCCCCCCCTCCCCAACAGTGGTGGGATTCAGCCAATTCGCACCCCTTCGGGAGAACCGGTTGTTAAGTTTCTGAGCAGTTTGGTGAACTGGTTGTTGGAAGAAATCATGAGAGCAGAGAACCGGTTCTTAAATTATTTGAATCCCACCACTACCCCCCAACCACATTTCCAAGTAGAAAGGAAACAGGCTCTGGCCTGGTGTGCTTCCAGATGGGGCCCCCTCCCCATCTGTGCCCATGACGTTCCTTTTTCTTTCTGAAAGAGGGGAAACGGGAGCCGGTGAGAGAGACTCAAGTGACCCTCACCTGGTTCAGAGCAGTTGCCTTCCTTCACAGAGATGTCATCAAGGGCGATGTAAGAGGTTGGCTCTCCACCAGCGCCTGTCACTGTGAAGGCCACCTGTACACGGAAGACACTGGTGGCGTAAGAGGCTCATGGCCGGCCAGCTCAGACAGTTTCCAGGCAAGCCAGACATTCAGCTCGGGTTCAAAAAAGCCACCATGCCCACCTGCCATCTCCTGCGGACTTTTGCCACAAAGCTGCCGTACCGCCAGGCTGCCCCCTGTGTCGGGTCCGGGCTGAGCATCCCTGCCTCTGCTCCCTCTTCCTTCCCCTCTTCCTCCTTCACGTAAGCAGTCAAGGATCCTATGGGGAGCAACCAACAGGGCAGGAGAGTCCAGAGCCCAAATGTCTCTGGGGATGGGCAGTGCCAGTGGTACTTGTAGGGAGCCAGAAGGGAGTTGAGGTCTTAGGCCTCTTGGCACCATCAATCAGGCTCTTGCACCCAAGAGTGCAGATGGCGCCACCGCCTGCTTACCTGGCTCACTGCCGTTTAGGTGGTACCAAAAGGAGACACAGTGGGTGCGCAGCAGAGGAGGGAAGGCGCGAGAGCGCAGGACGGTCACCTGGCCCAAAGGGAGGCGGTCTGCACCAGTGCGGAGGATCAGGTAATGCCCTGGGGGGGTGGGGGAAACAGTGAAGGGCCAAAATAAGATCTCCAAGGTTGGCACCTGCTAGGAGGGAAGCACCTGCTACCTCTCCCTTCGTGAGCCAGGCTATAATTTGGCCCCACACCTGGCGTCTCTCATCCGCAGGAGCCCCAAAGCGTTTCTCAGGTCTCCCTGGGGGGCTTCGAAGCCCCGCCCTCCCCAGGGACCAAAAGAGGCACCCTGCTGCCTGCTACCTCTCAGCTCGCCCAGGGTGTGATCCACGGGAGGGCCCCCGCCCCCGGCGCCACTCTGCCGCTGCCACGCTTGCTGCTTGGCGGCTGAGAAGCTGCATTCGTCGGCCTCGAAGGAGCAGTGCCTCTGGGCCGGGCAGTCCCCAGGGGTCACCGTGAGGTCATCCAAAGCTACGCTGCCCAGGAAGCCATCCCGAAGAGCCTCAAAGATCACCTGCAGGACAGGCGGTAAAAGCCCCTTCAGAGAGCTAGAACTATTGACAGGTTTCTAGCCCTCAGGGCGTAAGGCAAAAATGAGGCCCCCTGGAATCCGAGGAAGGCTTTCAAGGGTGCAGGGAAATCTATTCTAATCCGGGGAAGAAACCTTTCCAGACGGGACTCTGACCTGTCCGGATTCTACTCTGCTTCCTTCTTCCTCGATACGGAAAGGGGGTTATTTATTTTGGGGCTGCAGGGAGGGCACAGGGGATGCCCCAGAAGCTGGCTTCAATCGAAAGCTGGAGCCGGACTCGGGCAGGCTGTCCTAACCTATCCTCAAGGGACATGGTGGTGTGTGAGCAGCTGCCCGGCTGACAAGGAGAGGCCGCATCTGCCTGACTCCTCTAAGGAGCAGCTTTCCAACATTCCCGGGATCAGCACCGTGCTCTGGGAGGGGCTTAGGGTTAGGCTCTCTTTACCTGGTAATTCTGGCCAGGCTTGGGGGAAATGGAGGAGGAGGCTTGATGCCAAACTGCCCCGTGGCTGCCCCTCCTGGTCCAAAGCACCCGCTCCGGTTCTCCAGCCGCCTTCACTTTCAGGGCCAGGGTCCCTGCAAAACCAAATCCCCCCGGTGGGTCTGTGCTGGGCGTGCAAATGCTCTGAAGAGTGCCAACCCAGAGGTGTCACGCAGCACACAGCCGTTCTTTCGGGCTGGAGAAGTCGCTCAGGACACTGTCTTCACGCGCGGGAGGCTCGCCGGAAGATCATGGAGCCTCCGATCAGAGAAGATCGGCAAACAGAAGATTGAAGCCCTGCAACACAGCTCAGAAAGGAGGCAGGCTGGAGAGCGAGGGCCTCCCTTGGGCAGCCCTCGCTCACCTGGCAGCCTTCTGCACAAGACGGAGCGAAGACTGTTAAGATGGGAGGGGAGGGGGCCACTAGTACCCCCCCCCCGCCCATCTGCAGGCTTCTTCTAATGTGGGGATAGAACTGCCTGGCTGCAATCTGACAGCCACCCTCCCCCCCCCCCCCCCCCCCCCCCCCCCCCCCCCCCCCCCCCCCCCCCC